AGCTGAATCCGTCTAAATGTCAGGTAGTAAATTTCACTTTCAGACGAAAACGTGATCTACAACATCTAGCTAGCTCACATGGTCCCACTATCATTGACGGCATAGAGGTTGAAACTACATCTAATGTCAAGTACCTTGGACTGAGTATTTCCTCCGATCTTTCCTGGTCCTCTCACATCTTGCTAGTTACTAGAAAGATGTTTCGCTTAACGTTCTACGTTAGGAAGTCAAGGCAGTCTGGTATAAAGCAGTCTTTGCTTTCTCAGTTTGTCAACTCTTGTATTCTAACCATCCTTCTTTTCTGCCCCCCATTAATCTTTCCTGGACTACTTAAGAAAGACTTTGCTTTGCTGCGTAGGGCACTAAAAGCTGTTAGTAGGACAAGTGGGATTTCGTTAAACCAACTGGTTAACACCATTGTGGATAGACATATAATGTCATGTAAGAAACTAGAGAATACTATATTGTCAGACCCCGAGCATCCTCTCTATGCGCAGCTCTCTCCTTGCATTTCATCTGGTAGAACTAGAAGAAACTATAGGAGGCTATATGCTAGGACTACCAAGTACAAAAACTCCACAATACCTTATCTGGCACAGCTGTTATGTGATGAGAAAACTGTTAGTTATGACACGATCAACTTACTGCGGCACTCTAACAAATAGTTTCCATTAGCTTTTGTTCTCCTTTCTTTGTTACTATTATACTGTTGCTCACATATTCTATTACACACTAATTTTATATTTCATATCCTGTGGTGCATTGTTTAAATATGTGAATGCAATGCTGTTCTATTTTATTTCTCTTTTTGTTGTTGTTGCTTTTTATTTTTAAAATCTTATAAAAAATTTATGAGGTAATTAGATGCAATATTGTAATGCACGCTGAAAATTCCATACCTGTACCATAAATACTGTTTGGAATAAAGCTATTATTATTATCTTCTCGGGGTCAACCATTCTTGCCTTAGCTAAATTCTTATGTTCCGACAATCTGACTACCCCTGACCTACTAGTTTGACATATGTAGTTGACCTCACAGTCATTGCAGGGTATTTTGTAAATTATATTATTTTGTCTAATTGGGTCCTTTAACTTACAGAACTTGTCCCTGAGTGAGTTTGTAGGTTTAAATGCCATTCTAATTCCTGCTTTATTCAGAATTCTACGTAGGGTCTCAGATGTCCCCTCCTTATATGGTATAGTAGTGGATGACTTATATTCTCTCTTATTTATGCTATCATTACTAGCTGCGCATTCACAACCACTGCCTTCACAAAAGTAGAGGGAAGAATGCGGACGTCTAGCGCTTACAACCGGACTAGTGGATATGCTTAGCTGGAAAGCCCTAATTCCAAACCAGTGGTGTACATGAACTCTAGAATCCGAACGCATCAGATGAAGTACGAACTCGCTTTGGTCACTGGAAACCATAGGAACGCAGCCCCTGACGCTTCTCCACTACCTTGCGGATTAGGCTTCAAGTAAAAGGGTCCTTGAGACAACCACCTGCTTCGGTCTGGGCGTCCCAGCCCTGCCACAGACTATGAGATTTTGTGGTGTATCTCTTTGTGCCCATAGTGTACCAAGTTCGTGTGTAATAATAATAATAATAGATTCTATGATGATGAATCAAAAATCCGAGTCTGCAGTGATCGACTATATGGGAAATGCACCCGAAGATCAATGGTTGGCGGTGGCGAAGTTCTGCATAGTATACACATCGTTTGATCGATATCCAGATGTTATGCCTATTATCACTTCTGTCTTGAGCGTGTTAACCCCACTCAACCAACTAATCATTTCTTGGCTTAAAACTAGAAGTCGGTAAAGAACAATCCTGCAGCATTACCTTTTATTTGATCGAGGCGAACACTGTGCCAAACATATCATAATTACTGCTCATGGTATTCTGAATTTCACCAGTATTTTACAATATCATATGAATATTTTAAATCGACAAGAATATGAACTAGCAACAAGCTAATTGCTGAGTTTCTAAAGTCGATTAGGGTTACATCTGTGATACAGTTGAACAAAAATGGAGACATTCGGTAAATCTAACGGACCTCACTGGTGACTATATCATCAGGTGACCACTCTCCATAAGCTCTTACGTGCCTTGATTACTGCGAAATACTTTCCCGGTACTATCTTCACGACCAGACATTGTCACAGCATATCTTGGTCGACAGACTCAAGTGCCACCTTCAGATCAAGATAAACGGCGAGTGTTAGATGCCAATGTCCCAGAATCTGGCGAAGAGTCGAAATATGACCGAAATATCCTCTTCCTAGCATAAAATCTGCCTGGTTTTCCCAGATTGTTTCCTCCCTAAGGCCTCTCAGTCTACGAAGGATTTCTGTACTTAGAACTGCAGATATTATGTCAATCAAGCCGATCCACTTATTATTATCACTGGGAGACTTGTCTCTCTTCTTGTAAACTGGGATAATCGCTGATTTACAACAGTCCAAAGGGGCTGTCGTGGATTCCCACACATTACCTAATACCTTATATGACTCAGCCAATAGTTTGTCACCACCGTCTTTAAACACCTCTGAATTCATAACATAAGGTCCCGCTATTTAGCTTATTCTTAGATTACAGACTCTTTGCAACCTGTTTCAATTATAGAACCGATGTCCATATCACACAAACTTAGGTGTTAGATGCTGGATGAATTTAGCATGGTTATAGCTCAACCGAATCCCTTCCTACAGTGATCCCTCGACATCTCAGTCATCTATCCTGAGAGGCAATTAAAACACCATTCTTCTTGGAAATTGTTTCACTTATCAATAGTCTTTTACAACTCGTTGAGTTTAAAGAGTTGTCTGGTGCTACTTTCTAACGATATCTTTTCCATCTCTATCGCCCACCAATGTTCATGGTCATTGCATTTGAGTTTCTTTCACTCCTCATAGGGTTCGGAACACACCGAAATCAGTCTTCCTGCTTCTAAAACTGCAGATGAAATATACTGCCGTTTACTAACCTTTGGTTTGGATTTATCAACAGCCTTTACCATTGTATCTACAACTGACTGGTTATGTCAGGCATTTCCGGGATAAATTTTGCCGTCACTTTCAGGTGTGTTTAATTGTTTCTTACATAAACAGAGACAAGTACCTCCACTAACTGAGACGATATGCTTCATATGTGACTATATTAAATAACCTAGGAATTTGTCTTCCTACTAACGACCTAAAAGAACTACTCTTAAGATGTACACTCGATTCAACGTACAGAATGATGAGGTTTCCATGGGGTCTCCTATCGGCCCACCTTTAGCTGATTGTTTCATGGCTTGTCTTGGAAACAACATAATCAATCCTTCGATTAGTCGACTGCATCTCTACGAAAGATATGTAGATGATACTTTAATATTTTGCGATGAGAAATTCGACCTGGGCAGTCTTCCTCAACATTTTCGACGAGACATCCTCGCATAAAATTCACTCTGGAAGGAGGATTAAACCTTCCTTTTCCATTCATGGAGGTCCTACATACTGGATCAGATAAACATACCGAAAACCAACATGGACTAGACAGTCTACTAACTTCCAGAGTTATATTCAATATGACAAAAAACGAAACTTAGTATATTCTTTATGCTCAAGGTTTCAGAAAATCTGTTCGTAGGATACAACAGAGACTATATTGTAGTGTCTACAAGACACCTTGTTAGAAGACGGATATCCGCCTAGATTTGACAGAAATAATCGAATACTTGTTCAGGCTCAACTACCCAGAACACATTTTTTGTATATCACGCTATGACACTACCCAATCGCCCAAACCGATGAGCCACATCTCCACGACAGGAATAATAGGGAAAACCGACATCGTTGGATTTGGCAAGCGTTCCTGGGAAAAATCTATTCAGGAACCTGGAGTTCACAGGTAACACTGAGGCGTAAATTACTAAACAACAGCTTCTCAGATGTCTGAAGAAGGCTTTTCAGACATCTATCCTGCAAATCACACCCCTCAGGACAAGATACCACCTTTGGCGACGTCAGTGTATTCAACAATCTACTTGTTCCGGTAAAGCAAAGGATATCGGCCGTACACAGCGTCAAGTCCGCAAATGAATTTCGGAACACTGTCCAGAGAAAAATAGTACACTGCGCAAAACAATTTCTAAAATATAATTGCCTCTTTGAGTTCCTTTACTGAATACAAATAAGACTGTGGGGTTTTAGGAAATGGCTCGTCAAAATGAAAATTCCCTTCATTGTTACGTTATCTTTTTGTTTATAAACCAATACGGGAATTTTCATTCACCAAGCAATCGGTCATATAGATCCTCCTCCTAAAGGTTACTACCTGCCATCACAACACATTGAGTGAGCAATAATGGGGAATTCGTGTATGTAAGAATCAATTTTGGGTGTGTACCCGACTGATCATCGATGGTAATGGTAGGCAGTGGTCATCTGATTTTCAATTATTGGGAATATTTATAATTAACGCAGCATGATTGCACCCCCCCCCGCATTCTCAAAGTTCCAAGAAACACTAGTCAACTGCTCCTTGTGTTTTCCAGTCGTTCTATAAGTAATATCGCTTCCGGGACGAAATCTGTTCTGAATATTGACTAGTCGTCTACATGCTGATACTATAAAAACACTAACATGTTTGTAATTTGTCAATGTAATGCTATTAAGGTTTACATATATTATCTGGGAATCCTCTTAGATTAATTTGTAAAATGGAATGTTAAGGAATACTGTCTAACAAACAGAAGGCATGATGAGATTCGATGTCACTAAGTAATGAATATAGTCGCGTTACCAGTTGCTATAAGGGCCTCGATGTATTCTAAACTAGCGCAGCTAGCATTTTAGTTGGTACATAAACCATACCCATCCCTATTTATACTCAGATCCAATTACACAATGTTGCATAAAGCTGTTGCCGAGTTGATGGTAATATCGCCAAGGCATCCGTCAGTTTCAAGGATATGAACAAAAAACTAAGTGATTAGACAAAATGTTCAATTAAACAGAATAAGATTTCACAGAAGTAAAGCCACGTATCACTAATCCAAGTCCATGTTCTCTTCATTTTTTGCATTCTTGTTGGAATGACTTGTTTTTGGATTATTGTCCTCCTTGGTGTTGTTATTCATATTGTTGGACTGGTCAGAATTCTGGGGCGCTGGACCATCTGTTTGGGTTGGTGGAGCCGGCTTCGGTGTATTGATGATAGGATGACACGTAGACTCAAATGCCTGAAAGTAGACCATGATGTAAGGATATAGATGAACATATAAAAATGTCATTTACAGTTCTAATTAGTATGCAAACGATAGAACTTTATATGATATTGAGATAGGATACACTATGTGCTCACTTAATGCAAGCATAAACATATTGTACAAACAGGCAATTTGATGAAACCAGTCAATCAAAACTATGCTCATATAGTCTTATAAATTATCTTGATTTCCAGACAAACCACTTACTATGAGCTTCTTAGGCAAACGATGTGAACTACAATATTGGCTACTGAAAACCTTGTAGCTCACTTCAGTAAGTAGACAGTCACACCAATCCTAAAGGTCAGTCATAAATAATTTCTTCACACTACAACTCGGATAAAACCGATGAGACCTTCTGGAAATCAGCTCCCTGCCTAAAGTTAAAGCATTTTCTAATTAATTTGATGTTTACACACAGTAATAAAGTGTATGCAGTTACGACCACGTCACAGAATGTATAGTTAATTCAGCAAACATCACTCACCTTTTGCTGAGACATAATTTCTGAAACTTTTACAACAGGGTCCGCAGTCTGTGGTCGAGAATTCTGTTGTGTCATCTGCTGATGCAGCCAACCCTCATAATGAACTATCATTTCCTCCAGCTGCTTGACTTGTTCTGGAGTCAAGTGATCGTACGTTGGTTCACCAGCTGATAAGCTGTCTAACACTTTTTTAATATGCTGCAGAACAAAAAATTGAAAAATATACACGAATTAAATGTATGAAACTTGGATTAAAATACATCATGAATGTTGATTATCCCATATTCGACACTTGTACAGCTTACCATAAGCAACCTATAACGTCCTTTAGGTTTTCACACCTGTCCAAGTGATATACAAATGTGAAAGGATCTCAGAAACCTAAACATTTGCACGAAATTATAACAATTTTTGAATGAGCAACAACTCATATGTATATATTTAATCTGACATTTTATCTCTAAACATCACACGATGGCAAATCTCGTTAAGTCAATTTAGGCAAACGTAACTGTGACATGAGTGACTTACTAACAATGAATTAATCACAGCAAATAATGCACCTACCCACTTGGAAATGAAATTCAGCAAAGATTGCAAATCTCAATGAACACAATAAAGGAATTACAAGATATGAAATTCTTCACGGAAATAATACAAATGGTTGGAGTAGAATACGATCATGAAAATTTTATTTCCTAACATGAATTGAATTCAGTGCATTGGACAAAACTAATGTTTGGCACTGTCTGGTAGACAGCAGTAAAGGATGGTTACATTGCGCTCTTACAGCTCCATGAGCGGATTCGAGGAGTAATGCGATCCGGCTATTATCATACTGTATCCTTCTTCTTCGTTATAGACCAAGATGAACACTTCAAATGAAACTGGTATCAATGCTTTCTCCATTTTGTTCTCTATTTATTAATGCCTAGTTTGTTTTTAGATAAATAAATAAACTGTACCTCAAAAACCTTTGTGTGAACTTTATTGATGACGCAACGAACGCTCTATTTACTACTGTGAACCAGCCAAGTCCAGTATATGCAACATTTGATAACACATTTCTCAAGAAACAATACACCACGCATAGTATAATGACCAAAACACGAACTAACCATAATTGACCGATTGAAATTTTCTACTACCAGGGGGCGGTTGAGATGTTCGTTTGCCCGATGTACAACTGGATCACTCTTACTCTTCAACTCACTGAGTTTCTCCACATAAACCTGACGGGTTACTTCTTCGCCTTCACCATACAACCACTCTTCTGTTGCATCCAACATCCGTAAAAGTGATTCTGACTCAGCAGGCGTCAAGAAAGGACTTAACGGACCTTGAATTTTAGAGCGAATATCGTATACATATTCTTCAACAGCATTTTTAGCATTAACTCTTTCACGTTCCATTTTATCCTGTTGGATAAGATTGGCCTGAAAAAATAGAAAAATGGTTAAAAACAAATAAATCGTCTAGGAGGAAGGAAATATATCCTGTCATGTATTAAATAAACCTCTATAAATGTTCCCGATAGGTGGGATAGGAATAAGAAATATCAACATATGTACTCCGTGTGTCATCATTTTTACTACTAGTAGATTATCAAAATGTGGAAAATTACTGATGGTGACTGGTTAGATAAGACTGGAGACTTTGGGAAAGTGGAGTGGATAGAGTATCTTACTCTTACTGTATAACATTGTGACTTGATCAAAATAAAATTTTATCTATAATGAGTCTTCTCTCTTTTTAAGGGATAGTTTGTAGCAGCATTATATTGGGCGACAAGACCTAGGAATAATCAATCGCAAAAAATTTTCGAATGTGGGTGGAGGTGAGACAAAAGACTTGTCTTACACATCTTTGAAGAGCTTTGGTAAGGATATATTTAGGATTGTATTTCAGGCATTCTTTATTGCACACAGACTACCAGTGTTTAAGAGGAGGGGGTCATGATTATGAAGTCGATGGAAATCATAAACCCTTTTGACATCTTATAGTCGTATTATTTGACTTACACGTTGACCTTTTTAACTGTCTCACCCCCGCCAGTTTATCACGAAAAGAGTAAGAAGCCGCAGTTGTCTGACCACCATACAAAAAAGGTGCGAAGCGAATGATACTAGGAAGAATTATGTACCTACGATTGATACTTGTGAAAACACTGGCATGAAACTCAAATGTAGTTATGAATCTTGGGAAAATGTTTACCTAAACAATTACACTTTTTCTGGTTATTAAAACCGAGTATATATGCACGTTATTTTAAACGGTTGTCTAGGCAGAAAGCTTGCCTTCATAAATAAAATAGTAATTTTACTGTGGTAGACATACCTCAACTTCACAGAACTCATTTAGCTGTTTTGTGCTGAGTTGCATATTGTTAACATCAATACTTAAGTCATGATATTTAGTAAACTTCTTCTTCGTTACAGTCTTCTTCTTTGGTGCAGTTGAATCTGGTACGGCGTTGGGCGTTGATTCACTATTAACTTCAGCTGGTTGTTGATTGCCAACGTCTCCATTGCTAGGAGCGTTTACTTCCGTCTTTGCATTTCCAGAACCATCTGCTTTGGGACCGTCCTCAGGAACAGTGACTTCAACTTCTTTCTCATACTCTTCCACCAACTGCGCTTGTGATATGTTAAAGATACCATGAGTATTCATACGGACTTTAAGTCTAATTTTACGAGGTTCTGTAAATGTTTCAGAAGGATTGCCTATTTTAAAGGTTCCAATTGATACATTTTGATTCGGTAGGGCATCTTTATCCGCATACCGAGCTTCCAAAGTAAGAATGCCACGACGAGACAGGACAATCTGACGTGAAGAAGGGATAGGGTGAAGATGAGGAAACACCTCAATACACATATCTTTGCTCTGGATTGCTACTGCCCCGTCTATTTCTTCAGTTTGCATGCATTGATCACCACCTTCTTCACGATCAACTTGTAGCACAATAGGGTACAGGCACGGCTCCACTACACTGAAGTCTCTTACCTTGAAGGCCGGTGAGCAGATGGCTGCCTGAAAAAGATTTACATAATTGTAAGAATCTGTGGACAAATGTATACTATGAGTCTAAACCTTGTCTTTGATATAGCAAAACATGACAGCAACCTTGCCCGCTACTACGATCATAAAAACTCGTTCTGTGACATATTACACTTCCAGTCTACCGAAAAAACCAACTGTTCAAGTGTACCACAACTACTAAAACTTAGTGTCCCAATCAAGTTCTACATTTAAGTATGGATAAAACCCATGTACAGCAACAATTCCATCACGTTTGTGATATTTTCCTGGCTTAAATCACACCATCACGGCCTTAAACGCGCAAACTGAAAACCTTACAGCACTAAGAGACCTCTAGATACAAGTGCATGCAGTGGGCTTACAGAAGTATGTGGAACAAAACGTTCGAAGTGGAAACTAGTGAGATCAAGATGAATTATTCCTACTTTCGACTCACTTTAGTCATATCCAGACATTCAGCCAAATGCAAACCACATACCTGGAAAGCGCATCCACGGGCAACTGCCTCATCAGCGTTTAAACTAGTTCTTCCTTCTTGCTTGAATACAGACAAAACAGCATTCTTTAACATAGGTATACGCGAACTACCACCAATAAGTTCCACCGAATGAATGTCTTCTACTTTCAACTTGGCAGTATCAAGGCAACGTGTTAGTAGATCTTGGAAACGCTGCACAAGATCCGAACACATTTCCTCGAAGTCAGTCCGTTTCATTTTGTTTGCTAGATCACGTTCTTCTGCCAAACACTCGACATTTATTGGCAATTCTGAAGAATTGGCACTCATTGCTTTCTTAAGCTTCTCGCACTCTTGAAGCAGTCTAATAGTCGCTTTTACAGATAACGGTTCCTACAAATCAGGGTATTTAGTCAAAAACTTACCTTAATTTTGTATTGCTGTTGGAAATCTGAGGCAAACTTGTCGAAAAGCTTTCTATCAAAATCTCGCCCACCAAGAAAAGCATCACACACTGTCGCAAGGACTTTCATTTTACCTGTATTGAAAGCACAGATACTGACTTGTGTGGTGCTATAACCAACGCTAACGAAACCCACAACTTTTGGAGGACGATCAACAGGAGGTAAATCAGTACTGTAAAAGCCGTATGCGGTCCCAACTTCAGAGAATATACAGTTAGAAACAACTTACCTGCTGTCAAGTCATTAACTAGTTTTACACAGTTTAGACCCGCTATCTTTGAAGCATCTAGTACGGATCTCCGTTCGGAGTCTGTGTAATAAGTTGGGACGTTTATAACGACATCCACGACTTTTGAACCAATTGCGCATTCTGTGATTTCCTTGAGTTTATTCAGTTGGATAGCGAGAACTTGCTCAGGAATAAACGAAGTACTCACTCCATTTAAAACAACCTTGGAAGAAAATATATGATGCGAAACGACATACTGGGAAAGAAACACGACCATCACGACACTCTACTGAGTGAGTCAAATGTTTCTTCTCTTTGGCAACAGCAAAGTCCGTAGGACTCTTGCCAAGTAATTGAGTGAAGTTTGTGAAAGTGTTTTTGTAATTCATAACATGTTGTAATTTCGCCGCTGTGCCTACGAGTGTTAGGTTACCTGAAAAAGCAACACATGTACTAAAGTTCATGAGTCCACTGTAATTAACCTACGGCGTTGCTCTTTCACTGTATTCATTTGTTATCACCTCAATACCACCTCCTCTAGCTACCCCAATATACGAAGTTAGAGTGCCGACATCCAGCCCAACAACTGATACCGCCATGATAACAAGAGCAACCAGTCAACCTCGAGAAACACAACTCGCACTCAACTCTAGAAAGTAGTTCTAGACCACATTGCCTAGTTAAAACAAAAGATCATACAGTTCACGGTTTCAAGTGTAAATAACTTATGTCCATCTAATGACGTATTAAGGGTAGGTTTGTAGGGGGAAAATTCACAATACACTTCAGAATGTTGTTGTCTTCGGTTTTTCTTTTCGAATACTTGAATACTTGGTTGTCTTAGTAACAAATGAGAAATTCTGCTTTAAAAACCGAACTGGAAAATTATACATGCCTGTCATACTATTTTCATTAGACTGTCTGTTATGAGCCCATATTCCAACCTGATTGGGTTTTCAGTCAGCCGGCTGTAGTCTATGTTTGGCTGCATGCCAATCTGACCACTTGTTTGAAACACTTATGATCCGGTAATTTTCACATAATTTATTTCCACCAGAGCAGTATGCGATTTGTTGGAGTAAAAGGATGTCTACCTTGGGCCGGCCTAGAGTGAAGCAGCGATATCTTAAGTAGTTTGAAACACTTTTTAGGAAGCATTTAAGGTCGTAAACTGGAATTCTCACAAATCATCATGGCGTTCAGTCATTCCAACATGAGAGTAGGTTTGGCAAAGACGACCAATCTATTCTGAAGCTGTTTGTTTCATCAAAACACCTGCTTACTTAGTTGCACATTAGGCTACCATCACTACTCTTATCTATGGCTCATGACCCACTTGAAGCTGATATGTTAATTATTAACTAGAAACACCATACATCTAAGCACATGCATTTTTCCAACATTGAAATCCACTCCACCAACTTATTAAGCTTTCATAATTTATATCAAATAAAACTCATACCCTTAGTGTTCAAGCGCTTTAAGAAATGATGTCGAAAATTCACATTCAAAATTCATCTGTCAGATACTCCTGTGATGATAACCTTGATGTTTGTATCGACTATTTAAGTGATGAAACTCATTTTTTCTGTATCTAAGAAAGACTGGAGACGAAATTATAACTAACGAAGGAATTATAACTGATCACTTTGGATATGGCTCATAAATTAGATATTAGGTGGGATAATTTAGAAGGTGGTGGGAAGAGATTGTTTGACGGAGTCCGGAGCAAAAGTGAAAGCCATGTTGCTGGGCTACTCAAATATATTGAAATGTGTGCCTAAATTTCAAATAATTCATAAACCTATGTTTCTTGCAGCCAAGTAGCACGTTTTATGCATGCAGTCAGAGTTAATTGGTATGGTTGACGTCAACTATCAACACTGAATGTATGTTTAAGGTTGACATCGATTTTGGCAGAAAGCCCAGCCACTAAGAAATTTACAGTTAATTCAGATACATCTAGTGGAGTAACTTATCTAAAAACGTTGGGGTGTTGACTTATCTGTTTCTTTTTTGTAAGGGCGAAACGAGGACGATAACAAAAGCATGTGTAATCCTATCTGCAGACCTTGAGTCAGGTGAAGACAGACAGACTCTTTCGGATTGATCAAGTTAGGAATACGTTGCCATTCAGTCACTAACAGGTGCGTGAATAGGAGACTTCCCTTCTAGTGGCATCACGGTATAGGGCATCACTAAATTTTCGGCGAGACTTAGGAATATAAAGGTAAATTTATATCTCACTGTTTGTGTGTAGCATTTGAACCTACTTATGAATTCAGGATCGATAATTAACCCTTTGTCTGTCGATATGCGAGTTAAATGGACTGAAATAGCCAATGAAGCTTTGGCTGCGAGGAAATTAGTTGGAATTTAAACATTTGGTTTGCTTTATGAATGAAAGAGCATCTGTGGTTTATGCTAATTCAGCTGAATGCTTCACATAGAAACCTCTGCTAGGTGAGCCGAATTAACCCAGAATTTGTGTTTTATATCATTATCCTCACGGCCTAGTTGACTATCCGAAGCAACTTGGTATGAATGTCAGTGTAAAGAAATATACGTTCAGAAAAATTGTTGCTTATGTCTGACAATTCTGATTGTACAATTTTATTTTTCCTGACACTACTACCTAAGTACATGTTCCAGCTGACCAATTTACTCACCATCATGGGATGAATCTCACCTACTTTACTAGTTCGCTGGTTTTCTAGCCGACCATAAGCCCGGGAGAAGAAGGAAAGTTGAGCGTGGCGCTAACCAACGCACAACTATAAATCAATCCAGTGGCTACACAAACTACAAACAACTGGGAACAAGAGAAAGAAGATTTCTGTAGATAATTGCAAATAGTAATGCATAAAATCCCAAGCCGCGATACCTGATGGGCACTCCAAATGCAAATAGACTTCACCTCAGTCTCAAGAAGTTGGGGACATATTCTGTTGGAAGAAAAGTATAAAGGGGGAGGATATTTGGTCTCAGACCATTGTCGAAAGCAAGGTGCTTTCAAGGGAGCTGGAGATGGATCACAATTCAAGTTCAACAGTCGGAAGCTGAAGGAAGAAACTACAAAAGGATGTCTTCAGTGAGGCCACCAGAGTAAAGTCTGATACATTACGTAACATCACTAAAAAAACCTTTGGGGAAGAATACTGAAACTATGTGATAGTGGTGTCTGAAAAAATGTGCACGACCGCCTTAAGAAGAAAGAAGGAGCAACACGAGTGCTGGCTCTCAGCTAACACTTGCAAGCTAATAGAAGGGAGGAGGATGGCAAATCTGTAGATGAATTAGTGCAGAGAAAGACAGCAGAAGGAGAAGTTAAGTTCACTGTACACTGCACCGAATAAAGAAGTGAGGCAGAGTGCTAGAAGAGACAAAAGACAATTCCGAGACACTTTCCGGCAGCTGAAACAGGACAAGCCACAGGTAAATGCGACATCAGAACATTATATCAGATAAACCTATCTCTACCAGGAAGAAGTCAGAGCAGATGAAACCACTTAAAGAGGGTAAAAGGAATCTAATGACTGAAGAGAAGAAACAAAGAGGACAGTAAATTGGCCGTTTCAAGGACTCCTACAATTAGTCCAGAAATACCACCAACAGCGACTCAGTTGTCAGTGAACATCTATTCTCCAACAGAAGCAAAAGTCTTGAGTGCAACCAAGTTGTTGAATTCCGGGAAAACGGAAAGACCAGACAGTGATCCCTCTAAAGCACTGAGAACGCGTCCAGGAGTCTCAGCACCCAGGCTGATGACAGCGTTACAATTAGTTTAGAAGGAAATAAAGGTATCTACTGACTGGAAGAAAGATTACCTTGTGAAACTACCAAAGAAGGGCGACTTAGTCCTATGCACGAACCAGCGCGGAATGATTCCCATGTCCACTCCGAAAGAAATGCCAAATCCTGTCAGCCTGGGGAGAATAAAAGGTGCACTGCTTTCAGAACTCTACCCATAACAAGTCGGATTCGGGAAAAGCAAATCATTTGCTTATCAAATTGCAACTCTTCGCATCATCATCGGATGGAACATAGAAAAGCGTTCAAATCTACCTCTATATAAACTTCGCACACTTTGGGAAGGCCTTCGAAATCGTTAACCGTGAATTATTTTGGAAACTAATTCAACACCACGGTGAGCCCCAGATCTTTTGCGGCCCTATTCAACAGCTCTATGACAATGCCATGTGTCAAGTGATCCACAATAGTAAACTCAATGGATAGCTGGAAGTGAAGAGTGGACTAAGACAAGGAAGGCTGCCTACCATTACCAAAGATATTCATAATAATAATTTATTTCTGGAACAGAAACAAGCTATTTTTGCAGACATGAACATATGTACGCTAATAGGAACCACCTAATGCATGTCAATCTCTCGCGGGAATTATAAATGATTGCGTTAGTAGTAGGAGTGTAGTGGGTCAAATTCAAAAGAAGGCGTCAGTTCAAAACCCGGTGGCCGCTGAACGGTTATAGCTTAGCTCTTTTGTTGTATATAACTTTGACTTCTTCAACTGAGTTTGTCGGTAATTATAAAGTGTTTCGAACCAAGTCCATGTTCTACTTTTCACATCTTATCCCAGCGTGCTTGGTGTATACATTATTGTCTGTGCTGTTCTGTTACAAGGAGGTAAGTAGCATTTTGGTACAGGTGCTGAAGCGAAACATCAGAGATGCAGAATAAACAATAATTATCAGTGAATGATTCACAAAATGTTCAAAAATTTATAAATTTCAAAATAACTGGTAACTACACCGTAATTGTGACCTTAGCAGTTGTGTATGTGACCAAAGTCGAACTTGTAAACAGATTTCGGGACGAAAGTGGTTCCGTTCTTCACCAGGCATGCTAGCAATATTCTGAATAACTGCAAAGTGCGGGTTCTAGCGGTCTTAACACTAGTGTAGGTGGTTCTCATGATTTCTGCAAGTACAATGCAGTGGAGAATGCAATTATTCGTTTAATTCTCCCCAGTTTTTCACTTAGTGCATTAATTCGGTGCATAGTATTATTATACACAAGGATCTTGTTGATTACGAAAACTGAATCTATTCAGCTCTATTACTACATGACCTTGTTCCTCTTACTCTTACTGGCATAACACCTAAATAGACCTTCTGGAAGTCGTGCGGTGCAAAACTGCTATTACAGTTAATGGAATTCCCCTGATTCTTCGATACTGTCAATAGCGTATGTAATCCCAACGAACCACTACCACCATTCTCAGCTTTTTCACAGTTAAGCCTTGTGTGCCTGTCCTTTAAACAGCAGAAGTATAACCGTTTCCTTTTCACAACTTGTAACCCTTCTGTCGGAGATGTTTGGAGGAGACGAGGACACTTACTAAGTATGTGTACTTCGCCACAGATAACACACTTTCCTGAACGTCCAGTGATTTGAGAACCTCTCGTTACAAATGACTTTGTTTTACTCGATGACCTCTCAGTTTCAGAAGCCGGATGCAATATACTGGTGAATTTACTCATAGTCTGATCAACATTATCTGTCACTAATATCAGTATATCGTCGAACCCTTGCTCTCAACCTTACTCTTCTAAACGGGAGCTTATTCTTATGACCTTTCT